ACCTGACAAGATCGTGAAATCGAAAGTGAAAGCATCTGAAGCCCGGTTTATAACATGGCAAAAGAGGAACTCCCGTTCACAAAATTCAACTCATAAATAATACTACTGATGAAAAAGAACGGGTTGAATGTTAACTACTTTCGTTTCCATATAACTATAAACTACGATAAAAGTTCATCAGCATGCATTGATTAATAGCATGTTGTAGGCAAAAAAAAACGTGCTCGTGCAGCCAACTGAGAAAGTTAATCGCAAAAGAGCGACCAGTGGGAAGAATGAGTCTGGAGCCCTGAATTGCCCAGCTCCCTCTGTCAATGATCTAGCACCCCCTCAGCACCTGCGTTCAAAATTCTCTGGTGCTGCCCCTGGTACATCGATGTATTTTTGAAAAGCAAAAATAAAATTTAAAGTTTATTAAATAAAAAACTAGCAAAACGAGTTGCGCGGTGTCCCCACCACTTTTCAAAGCAAAGTTAAGCCACTGTGTTGATATCACATTTCAGACTCTTTCACGTCACAGGTTATGAATGCTGCTAAACTGCATTTCAACAAACACTGTACGTGAAAACATATACATTCTGTTACGACTTTAATGGTTTTTACACCGATATAAGTGAATCCATAATTGTATTATCTTTTTTTTTTTTACAACCGGATGTTTTTGTTTCTCAGACCCATTATTGTGATTTTATTTATTTATTTATTTTTCAGTTTTTCTGTTGTTGAGCTCTCTCACATTCAATTAATTTTGAGTTTGAAAGAAGTTTCGATTATAAGTTTGTGATTATTACGTAAAACAAATAATGACTCTAAAAAAGAAATATACACAACTACACCAAAATAACATAAAAATCAATAAACATATTAAAACAAAATACAACATATCATTTACCAAGATATGAACAAACATCTTTCCCTCTCCCACTTCTACTGTTGTTTAGAACGTTCAACACATTAATTAATTAATTGACATTAGTGATGTTCGGTTCTTGAACGAATCGTTCTTTTGAGCCGGTTCTCAGGAAGTAACCGGTCGAGCCGGTTCACAAATCGAACTGAATCGAACTTTAGGTCCGGGTTGATGACGCAGGACGCACAGCCGAAGTAGCACGTCCAACTCAAAAAGAACCGATTGAACCGGTTCAACCAGCAGTCGAAGTTTGCCGATGATTACCGAGGACTCAACAAGAACCGAATGAGCCGTGGCGAAGTTTGCCGAGGATTACCGAAGATTCTTGACGAGTGAGTTGACGATACTGTGTAAGCCTGAGGCGCGTACTGGAAATATGCTTATTATGACTGTTATT